CTGTTTGTGTTTCGTAAACCAAAAACGTAAGCTATATATAAATATATATATATATATATATATATATATATATATATATATATATATATATATGTGTGTATTCTTTTCCCCCATCAAATCTCTACTCTATACTTCATACTCCTGTAGGTATTGTTGTATTCTATTGAGTATGGCTACTGCAGTAAGCTTACCTGCAGCAACTCCATCAACCGTCATCACAGACGATCAACGAAGATGGGTAGTCATTGGAATTTGTTTAAACAAACTTCTTACTCCTGTATTGAGGAATGTCCTTGGAAAAGAAGTTCTAGTTTGGTATAACAGTCTTTGCTTATCGCCCAACCAAATTAACAAACAGACTTACAAAAAACATGCAACTAAATTACCGCCTTCCAAACTAAAGCTGAATTATGGAAATATCAACAAGAATTATGACAACCACAAGCTAATATATAATGCTTATGATTATAACGTCCAAAATCCGGAATCCCTCGCCAAGTTATTTGTCCAACCTTTCATGGCAAAATTCAGTGGATTTGATCAAACCATGGACCTGTCTGGGGCACTAACAGTGATGGGTGAAGCTGATCCATTTCACACTTCTGGAGCTGCTCTGCTGGCAAATACCGTTCGTAAAGTTGTTAGGAATGCCTGGGCTCATTGTGATTTTTCACACTGGAATGATGTAAATTATCGCTCCTGCATACAACATATCGAGTCACTTGTGAGGAAACTGAATTTACCTAGTGCTGATGAAAACGATTTTGTGAATGAACTAGACAATTGGAAAGATAAAGGTAAAGTTACTTTTGGAATATTTTGTTTCTAGTTAATATATCTTCAGTGCTGGAAACTCTCGAAAATGACAACACCGCTTGCACAAGCGGCACTTCCAACACAATATATTCTTTCAAGCTGCCGAAAGTGTACCCTGAGAGCGGAGCCTGATTTATTCCTCTCGTGTAGAAAATAAGGCTCTGTCGTTTTTGTGTTTTTGTTATTCCAAAATTCTGGACGAAGTAAACCGGTAATAAACGTCTAGTTCTAAACGGTGTTAAATGCGCGCGCCTTCGTTTTGCATGTAAACCGATGACTGCAATATATATATATATATATATAAGTTTTCAATCTTTATTCTAGATGAAAAATTAATTATCTTTCTCCTTATCCATTGATATTTGACTTTTCAAAATAACCAACCGTTAGGATCACTTAGGTGGCAACACCAATATTCCAACCTGCCCAAATTATAAAAAATTGTGTCTAAAGTATTCTACAATTCATATTTTACGCAGTCAGATTAAAAACGATGGCGCTATAATGTTGAGTTGTTCCTAATTTGGTATACAACTTCGTTTACAGTGCTAAATGCATGCAAATCCCTCAAAAGACAAGGAAAGGGGCATTTAAGCCCCCCCCCCCTCCGTAATAATTTTTCTGATACTGAACGCAAAAAAAATATATAAAAATCATACATATACACATACATATATTACACACACATACACACATACACACACACTCAGAGTAACATCAAAAACATTATATCCACCTGAGTACATAACATCAAAACACACACAAAAATATTGTGATCATATAACACATTGGCATCGAAGGTACTAGACTTAGTTCCGAAATACCTCACACTCGAACAGACTTGGTCTCGTAGCTCAGTTAGCAGATCATTGGACTAGTATCCCAAAGGTCGCGGGTTTGATTCCCACCGTGGTTGGACTAGTATCCCAAATTACTGATACCATTTTTACATTCGTTTCGAAGGTGTGCAGTTATGCTGTGGTCAGCCAGTGGACGCAGATCTGCTTAAGCTCATCACAACTGAAGTTTCTCAACTTTACGATTCTTTTCAAATATTGCGAGATGAGAGCCAGGATGCACAGGTAGTGTATAAGATATATAGTTAATAAGATATGAACATCCTACTACAGATCAGTTCCGCTTTATATATGGACGATTATAATAATGGTTTTGGCTTTGTTGGCCGATGAGGGGCTCAATTTCAGTATTATGGTATTTAAATTATTTAATCTGAAGTTATGTATAGTGGGGCTAGAGTATAGACCGTTGTGTTACTTTGAGGATTTTGATGAACGAGCAAATTCCAGAATTGCAAATCATTATGGTAGTTTAGTTACATGACTGAATTTTGCATCATGGCGCTTGCTTTCTTTGAACATGACAAGGACCTAAATAATTGAAAACTTTAGGAAAAGTTTGATCATTTTCACTGTACATGAAACAAATTGTGACAAATCTGTTCGCCTTGTTTTATATTTGTATACTGTGTTTCTACGAGCCAATAATTTTGAAATATTCAACATGGCTTACAGAGTTTCTGAAACGCGGAAGGGCTTCGTTTCCCGTGGTGAAACACAAATTATGATATTTTTCACTTTGAAAAGGTGAGTACTTGGTTAGAAAAGGAATTGATCGTTTGCATGGGAAATACAGCGATCGATTCATTTCTGGCGGCTTTAAACACGAAGTTGTTTTCATATTTGTTCGGCCAAGAACAACACACGCCTGATCAAAATGTTCTTTCCACAAACCAAAACATTGAGTTATTTGTCGCGAAAAGTAACCGTTTGAAATACCAAGCTGACTCATTTAAAATATTTTCACTGTTGTAAAAAGTGCTTTGAAGTGCTGTTCACTGCTATTTAAGTGTTTTAGTTGAGTTTTTGAAATACAAAAGAATTCACGCGAGTCTAAGTACATGTAATTGTTCGCTTTTCCGACGTCTATGTTTTGGGTGGTTTTAAAACCGTTTTTGGAACCTGAGTGGCATTTCCCCTTCTACGCATGAATTGCTGAAAGACCATTTGATAATTGACAGTTCGGGTAAACATGGAAAACCTCCAAGCCAAGGGTAACAGGTCTTTAAAGATATAATGGTTACACAGGTTTTAGTCAAGGCTAATGTGTTGAAAGGCACTGAAACGTTTTTCCTGGGGAAAAGTAACGTGCGTGCTTCCATGAAAAAGACTCATTACTCAGTTTATGTACATCTACATGGGTTGAAAACTGTTGACACATGCCATTATTTTTAATGGCCTGCTCGATTCCAATGGCTATCAGCAGGACTGCCGTGAAGAGGATAAAGCATGGGGTGTAGTATCGCATTTGGCGACAATACTATATTTCAGCCGCTAATTAATATTTCTTATTAATTTTCCATTAATTGTTGCTGGGAGGAGGCAACATTTTTTTCGGACGTTGTATTTTTCACTCACTTGGGGTTAATGTACTGTCATTCGTTATGTTTTTCGTTGATATTTTTGTAAAATTCTCCAAATCCGTCATTATCAAATATTTATTCAGGGGGTGTCACTCCCCAAACGCGCAAACTCCGCCCTAGCAATGGCTTTGCACGGGAGTATAAATAATTTCTGTAGGGTTGCCTTCAAGAAGAGTACTCACTAATGCAAACTTGCATACAAGTCAGCTTTACAACGCTAACATTCGAAATTTATTTACTAACCCTATACAACCAATTTACCTTCCCAAGAATATGCACTCTATACCCAAAACACTTTATTTACAACCAAAGTACAAATGGTTGACATAGAGTGCTACACAAGAGGCAGTCAGATTGCAAACTTTGGTTTCAAGAAAGGCGATAAACAACTTGCTTCCTGCCACAAATATAACAAAACCACCTGAACCTTGTTTGTGGGGCAAAAGTAACGAGCAGACTTCTATAACAAAATACGTGGAAGAGATTAACCGCGATAAACAATCTGTAACAGCTTGGGATCAGTGAGCACGAAAGCTTAATGCCTTGGTGCCAGTCCAGACTGTTTATTATATTATTCTGGAGAGACAATACCATTTGTGGTATCCTCGTACCTAGGGTCTTTTTGAGAAAGACTCTGGTGTTGTCTGATCACGTAACTCTACAAAAATTGCCTAACTGAGTGTGGCAAAGTATCAAAATTGCATGCTTACACAGAAAAAATTAAATTTCAATTACTAAGAGTGGCCAGTAGGATTTTACGATACATAGTTCGAAGGGCCCGCTAACTTATATTTACTTCTGTTTGCTTTTAAATTACAAAAGCACTCCAGCGTTTTATCAACAGTTGACTGTTGTCAAGAAACAAATAAAACCGTATACTTTGAAGTTTGAAGTTGGGTATTCTCTCTGAAACCTATTTTTATGTCAAACTGTTCAGTCGTCAACGTTTTTATATTTTCCCTTTTATTTGTTTCAAAAATATTCCATTAGATATGTTGTTTGCAAACGTTGATGAACTTTGCCCCGATTTACCTGCAATAGTACGCCTCGATAGATAAAATTTTGAAAAAGCAACTTTTTGCCACAATGCAAACATTTGGACATTGCCAAACAGAGATTGAATGCCCACTTTAAAACTGTGACTGATTTATTTTTGAAAGTACTTTGATAGTTCATCGTATTTAAAACTCGTATGTAGGTAGAAGGTATAGTAAAGTAAAAAAAAAATTCAGATGAATGTACAAAATTTTTCAGCCTCAGGAAAATGCATGCCTTGCAACATTGAGTATATAGCTATGTGCGTATATCAGAAGATATATATATATATATATATATATATATATATATATATATATATATATATATATATATATATATATGCTATCACGGCTTTAGCTTTTTTCGGCCGCCATGAATTAAGCAATGGGGTAACAGCAATATTAAAAATATATATTTTTTCTGATGTACATGCAGTACACATTTTATGATACGAACATAGATAATTCCATAAACCACGGCATGAACACTGATAAGCTCATGCAGTCATACCCATCGCAGATATAACACTATATTGGTCGACCTAGAAATGTATTTTCTTGTAACGTTTGCAACGACGTGTGCTTTCTTCGACGAGCCGTATAGCATAATAATTATTTGTCTATTCAAATCAGATCTATCTTTGCTCAACGACATTCTGCGCACAGTGACATTTGATATTCCTTATTGTGTAACTTCATGACAAAGATATTGTATAATATTATAAGATATTGTCAACATTAATTGTATTAAATATTCTCTGCATGATTTCTGCGTTATTTCTTCGCTCATTCCTTGCTCAGCGACAACACCTATTTAGTTACCTACCCTAATTGAAATTTGTTGTTACCTTACCTTCCAGATTCTGGGAGACCATTGACCAGACTTGCAATACCAGGGTATTTTCTTAGCAGGTGGTCATGGCACCAGAGTGTGAGAAAATAGACTGGGTACGAGATTGCATTTGGGATAGGCGAGGTGAAATGCCCATTTTCGATAACAGAAATGTCACTTGTGAATGACTGTCATTTTTAGTGTAAAGTTTCTTCGAAACTTCACAGTATTGTGATGACTGCAGGGGCGGATCCAAGGGGTATCGAGTGTAGCTCAAGATACGGTCAAATTTTTCCGATTATACTAAAATAGTTTTGGGGAAAAATTCAATATTAATATATTTTCACGCAATTCATTTCTGTTTACAAAAATAGTGAAAATTTGAGTTTACTAAGATGAACGAGGGCAAATTCTTTCGTAAATTTTAAAATTCACAGCTCTAAATGTAACATTAGACGTGTTTTTAAAGCATTGAATTACTTTCGACGAAGATGAGCCGAGAGCTTCCCGAAGGCATAACCCGAGGTTACGTAACCCGATCGGAAAAATGTTTTTAAATGCGTCTGCGGTGTTCTGATACGGTCCGCGGTTCAAATGTTACTACAAATAGTAACTTATAATGAGGTATTTGGATACCTTGGAGGGTATCCAGCCAATCACAGGACGTGTATCTATGACGTCGGATACCCTCTGATACTGTGGCTGTATTTTGATTGCGCAAGAAATGAAATAATCGTGAACCGCTCGGAAACTTCGTCACATATTGCTAACAGCCGCATTTCTTCTAACGTGTGAGTGCATGACTGAGACACTGAGTGAGTGATGGCCTTACATAATTTCAGAAGACGTCCTTGAAATAACACTTTATAAATAGTGTATTGGATGCCAATTAGAACAAGACTATTACGAAAAGGATATGTCCGAAGGGACCGAAGTTATGTTCGGCGAAAGGTATGGCTAGTTTACATTGTTCGAGAAAATTGAGTAATATAGTGAAATATATGATATTGCTTGACCTCTCAAAGTTCATAAATCGCTATATTGTCTAAAACTATCGTTAGGAATTAGGAGATATTCTTTCAATGAACCGAACGGTAGTATTTTTTTTTTCATAGCATTCGCCTAACCGAAGATATTAATCTGTAAAGTCATATTGCTGCATTGCGCGTGCAATATGTTATTAATTTAAATAGAGACCGGCGGGGAATATTAAATATACTTAGTCGCAAAAGCCGACGTTTCTATGTCAAAACGCTCCCGGCCACGTTTCATGAAACAGAAACTTGAACACTCATACCAAGAAGAGTTATTGTGTGTTTTTTTGTTATATACTTTATGTTAAAATATGACCTTGTTATGGCCACATTTTAGGCCAGAATCATGGGCTCATAACGCAGGAAATGGCATTTCCGGGGTTCAAATTTCAAAAAATTTTCGGGGGGGCACGCCCCCCGACCCCCCTAGTTATGCGAGACCTAGGAATATGATACGGTCACATTCTAAGCTAGATCCGCCCCTGGACTGGTGGGAAATTCAAACGAATCAGTCAGTCAGTCATACAGTAAACTTTCCGGGGGGGTGTATACGATTTATATTCGTAGTGACTTATTGTACTTAGTCAGTGTTTTGACAGTTATTTAGGCAATTTCAGTTTCTTCTTTAAATATCCTTTTGGACTTTTGACAAGTTCACAAAAATTTCGAGGAACCGTTGTCGTTATGCAAATTTTATAACATTCGCTTCTCGTCGGTTTTTCGTGTTGTGTAAAGGATCTTTCTCCCGGAACACCCGACTTTTTCTTTAGCAGCGCAAATGCGCATGCGCTATCAAGCCGTAGATCAACGATGGCGTGACGATGCTACGAAGGAGCGAGGCAGTGTTGTTTTCAAATGTTTAAATATTTTAGACATGATTGTTACTATTACAGCTAGTAA